GGGTGCGAATCCCACTCAAAGTCATTAAAATATTAAAGTAATTTATATTATGATGTCATTTCATATTTGTATAGCAGTTATGAGAAGCACAAGAATGTGTATCCACCCAACTCTTCCTTAAAATATTTTGAAAAAGTATTTCACAAAAAAATTTCTACATAATTATATTAAAACCATTTATGCATATATTTTTAATTAATCACACAAAAAGCAAACATTTACCCGTTTTGGCAATGTTTTGCCAATAGACTTCTAGACCTAAGTGTAACAAAAGACATGTGATTAACATTTCTATACATTGTTTGCATAATAAATGGGAGTCTTATTATAGTATAAATACTTATGTTGCTGAAAACGCAATGAACAATAAATAGATGTTAATAATAGGCATTTTGTATTCAAATTTCTATTCAACTCCAAGACTTGTGAGGTCTGTGTGGAGGCCCTAATAATGCGAACCAATAAAATGTATTATCATATTATTAGACCAGTATTTATTACGGCAAAAAACTTTTCAAAGAAAACGACAATTAGTTTAATTGAATAATTATTACAATGTATATAATGCTAACTTATAGTTAGCGTTACATTTAGTGGTCTTTTAGGCAATAAATATGAGACTAAATAAGAATTTATAGATTTTTTGTTGACTAAACTATTTTATGTTAGATAAGTCCGTAAAAGATTTATACAAAATAATAATGATATGTTGTGTAAGTTGTAGTGTATATGTGAATGTCATTGAATGGTTTTATGCCTTTCCATTTGCCATTAGGTTTATCTTCTGGACTGACTTTTAAACAATTATTTTCGATGCGATTCACGAGATATGCATTAAATGAATCGGGAGTTCCGGAGCCGAGAGTCTATGTAATGATAGAGTGGTATCGCATTGGGTGTAGAGAAGCACAAAAAAGTTTGAGCTCAGAGGTGTAGGGGAGCGGCATATCTGCCTGTGCTTACACCACACAACTCACAGAATATACATCACAACAACAAATATGGACTAATGCTCGGGGAATAGGAAAATAGGAATACGAATACGAATAGAGGGAAAGGGAGACACAGATAGAGTGCAAGTATAGCGTAGAGTGGAGTGGAGTACGAGAGCGAGTAGTGAGCAGTCATTGCCTAACGCACAGAGAGTTTGAGAGTCAGTGCATTTGGATCGCGAACTCAGCCAACATTACCACAAAGACATTCGTAATGATCACATCAGACACACCACTGAATGTGACCTTCGTTTTCATGTTTCCAACATTTGCTGAATTTCACGACAACTCTCTCTATGTTTTCAAAGCTCACAGAATATTGTTTTGACTGTTTCTCCACTACACTACTCCTATCGTAATACTTATTACACCGACTGATAAACATTTCATTATCAAAAAAGTTGTGTTCAGTTATTCACAACACTTACACGAAATTCTGTCAAATATGAGTTAATATGTGTGTAACAGTCGATTCTCTGCCATACAATGAATTCTGTTGTGTTTGCAGTGGTGTTGTGTTATATTAGTTGTCGCCAAATATCATCAGTCGATGCCATCAATAGTGCCGATGAGTACAAACTGACTCTAATTCACGCCAATGATCTGTTCGGTGCATTTGCCGGCGTTAACAGTGATAACAGTTTGTGTGATCTCAACACTCAAGACCAAAACCAGTGCATCGGAGGGGCGCCTAAAATAGTATCCAAGGTATGAGAGACAACCATCTCTTCATTCGTGAATCTCTTTATTTTCTTCTTTTTAATTTAACACTTCTTTTGCTTTTTTGAGAATATTTTTCATATTTAGTGTCAAGAATTCACAACAAAGTGAAAGAATAATTTCATACAATATTGTTGTTTATATTACGGTTTAATAAGTTGTATCCCTTTGAGGAGCAAAACTTTCAAGTAATTTGTTTTCTTCCAAGCAATCAATCAAATCTGTTTTAATGTTTATTTGACTTTTGGTGCTATACTTACATAACAAAAATGTTGAATCCTTATTACGGATTGATTAAGCACTTATTTATTGTCTAACCAATGATCGTAAAGTTTGAGGGCATCATCAAAATAATTTTTATTTCATAGCTATTTATAATTAACACATTTTCTAACGGAACTCAATAAGTAGTGAATTATTTCACTTCACTCTCAATTAAACGTTTCCTTATTCTCAGCAAAATTTATTTAATAAATATTTATATTAAAACAAAATAAATTTCTAGCTAAATAAATACGGAAAAAACTAGTGTATTCTAATATATTCAACATTTACTATCATAGGTCCTTCACAATTGTTTATACAATTATTAATTGAAAATCAGTCAATTAATAAAATTATTTTTAAGCAAAATAAATATTTTTAATTTTAATTTTAATTTTCAATTCCTATACTAAAAAACATATCCTATTCTTGTTAATGTTAGAATTATATTTGGTTCAGTAGTTCAGCACATATACTGTAATAGCGGCCCTTTTTATCAAAATAATCGATAAATTTTCGCCAAAAATGTGCCGTTTCTTGACATTTGAGACGATTTGAAGTTTAATTTATGACTGAATATCGATTACTTCATACAATTAAAGCGCCCAAAAGTCTAATAAGTATTGATTTCAGTCGTTAATCGAATAATAGTTCCTTAAATACATTAATTTGTGAGCAAAGCATAGATTTGATTGAATGCATCCTATTTCGCCATTCATTTAATTATTTCTGTTCCCTATTGTCTTAACGTTTAGTATTTATAACAATAACAGTAAATATATAGTAAACTTTAAATGTTTAATTTAGTTTAAAGCTTAAACTTCTAGCTCTAACACTAAATAAAACATTGCCAACAATTACATGTAAAACAATACTTTAATGACTGTATTATCCAAACTCTTTGCACATTATCTAACTTATCATTTATTTCCTAATTGTATAAAAACACGAATTCTTAGTCAATGACTAGTTTGCATATAAAAAGCCATTAAACACTGAAATAATTGATTTAATATAGCTAACAGAGTGGCGCACTAAAGGGGACAGGCTATTTTTCGTAAACGCTGGAAATAGTTTGGGCGGCTATTGGTACAGACATTTCGGATCAAAAGTAGTGACCGACTTCTACAAAGAGCTTCAGTTTGATGTCATTAATCTTGGATTAAGTGATTATGAATTATATGATGTTCAACCAGATTCGCCAGATTATTATCGCGAGACATATGATAATATAACTCAGTTTTTAAGCGAGGTCACCCGGACCTCCCGAGTGGTTTCGTGTAATGTTGATGTCCAGGATAAATATATCAACAATTTCTACTCAAATGTCAGGCGATCGGAGCGAATGTATAGAAGCGAACAGAGAAGAGTGGCTTTCATTGGATTCGTGAAGAATCCAAATCCAAATACAAATACAGTGAAAGACAGTAGCGGTAAAAGACAGTCTAAAAGTGATTCATCTTTCGGAGGCATATCCATCGGTGATCCCATTAAATGTCTTCAGGACGAGAGCGAGGAATTGCGTCGAAACGGCGCTGACATCATAATAGCCATCGGAAGCGGTGACGAAGAGCTGTTCAAAGAGATTGCGACTAACGTTCCGAATGTGGATATCGTTGTCGGCAGCTATGGGCTGACAAAAAATCTGTCACTTCTGAGAGAAAGGACAGCCCATAGCTATCCAGATATGGTTCTCAATGATAATAATGTGAACGCAGTTGTGGTGACCGCCGATGTCTACGGCAAGAGTATCGGCAGACTTACCGTTAAGTTTGACAAAAGAGGGAATATTAAGGAAAGCGAAGGCACTCTCATTGAATTGGACCGACACATCGATTCGGGTATGTCTTGTTTAGGCTATTATTAGATACAGACAAACGAATTAAACGATTTATTCTGTAAATGCTTTTCTCTAAGATCTCTAATCCTTTTAGATTGCATTCATGCGATTAGTGCATCTATTTTGTTAAAAACAGTTTCACTTAATCTATCATTTTTGGCGATCAAAACACAAAATATTAATAATTTGTTAATCGCATAGAAAGTCTAATTTGGAAAATTACTAAAACAGATATAATTATGTTATTTATATTCGAGTCGAGACCGCATCTCCACTCAACTTTTTGGTTATCTATAAATTTCACACAAATTATTGTTACATAATATCGTATTGATATGATATGACCCCCTATTGTACGATAGTATAGTGTGTGTGAAAGTTGGTTCCTATAGTGAGCCCATGTCAGGGGTAGGGCAGCTGTTATTGAATGGACCCATTTGGGAGCACCAGTTGTGAGGGCTCTCTGATGTTGGTTTGAAAACCAGATGAATGTCGGAAAGTGTCGTTCAAATAAATAATTGAACCAAACATTGCATAATATCAGGGATGACCAGACTTGTATAAACTCAGGGAGATTTCTGAATATGTGGTCTAATAGTGTGGTTCAATGGGTTGTGCACCTGGTATTGGGTGGAGTGGGCTTTGATAGCATGATATCACACAATATTAGCTAATCAGCAAACAATGCAAAAAAGTATATCAAATTCAAGCTTTAGGGCATGTTTTACAAAGCAATTGGTTGTCCCTCTATTTTATTAGACCATTAATTGCTCTCCACTTGAAAACTGGTTTCAATTTTTATTACCATTTATTCAAACAAAAAATACATCAACTTTTGACAGTTTTAACGTTAGGTCTCGCGTTTATACCGACAATTGAATTACAACAACAGTTTTATTTGATTTCTGTTTTTCTCTATTTCTATTTCCAGCACTCAATTTACATTCAATTATTAATGTGTTAAAAATTAATTACATAACAGATTCAAAAACGGCACAATTGGTAAACAACTACCAGCGCTCGCTGTACGTGGGCTCGACTAAAGTATTCCTCGACGCCTCCCACTGTATGTCCCGGGAGTGTAATATCGGAGACTTGATGGCAGACTCGATGCTGTTTTATCGGATTAATTATATTAATGAAACTTTCGTTAAATCATTGATTAAATACAAAGGAAGTCCGTTATTAAGACAAAGAGTGGACGAGAATAGAGATGTAATCGCATTGATTAGTAGCGAAAGCATTTCAAACTCCATCGGAAACGCCAGAAGTGATGAGTACTTCATCACTAAAATAAGTTTAGACAATATGTTTGACCGAAAAGAGCCCAAAATTCAAATGTTTATTTTGGACGGAAAGACAATCAGACAACTATTGTCGGCGTATATCCGGCGCTCAGACTTACTGCAAGTTTCGGGAATGAAAATTATTTACGACCTCTTGAAACCAATTAATGAGACCATTATTGAGATTTCCGTTAAGTGTAGGCTCTGTCCGGACAATTCATATAATGAATTAATGGACAATAAATTGTATGACGTTTTGTTGCCTCAAAATATACAATTGGATCAAAACGACCACAGCTTACGAGTGGCTCAAGACATGAGTGCTTTCCATATAATAGAGCAATACATCAAAGAAAACTCTCCCATTAAGACAACCATTGATAACAGGATTACAATAATTGGTAAAAGAGGTATAAAAACTCTTTTTTAAAGATTAATTAGTCTTTAATTAGGCAAATGTCTGGAAAGACTTGATTTGAGTGTAAATATTTAAATATAAACTGCTGTATTTATTCTAGATGATTCCAGTCTACAGTATGTCTGCCTAATCTATCAAAATAAAAGCAATTTATATAGAATTTCACGTAATATTAAATGGATGTGTTTTAAAAGTATCCCAATTTAGATGCTTATCTGCATCTTATTTTTTGCAATTAATTATGCATTTATATTATATGGTTGGACTGTAATTAAAATACTGGCAAAATATGTTCATATAATTAGTTGTAAGTGTCGATTAGAGTGAGCTTTTAAGAAGATGTCAATTATATGAGATATGCTAATAAAGTTGGATATATAAGAGACTTTAGCTAATTATTTTACATTATTTTATTTATGTTTCCAAATCACAGGCAATGGCTCAGCCGTTGGTGTAAAGTCTGGGATTTCGATGACATTATTCTCTACTCTAATAGCTGTCTGTCATTTGTGGCTATAATTAACATCGACTTCAAAACTCAACACAACTCGTAAGATATGATAAAACCCTTAATGAGTACTCAGATTATGTTTACTCTTTAACGCGAAGTGTAAATGTTTCAAAGAAATGATAACTTTTTATAATATAATACACAATAAGTTATATTCATTATTAAGCGTTTAAACATTAAATAAATATTTATGTGTAAAGTTTTAGTCAAAATTAATATTATTTATATGAAAAAGTAATTTAAGATTTATGTCATAATAATGTAGAAATATATGGAGGCATTCAATACTCGAAATGAAAATGAATTATCATTAGATATGGTCTGCGAATACTGTATGTACTGTACTATACTGTGAGTATATGTATAGTGAGGGTACACTATGTTTCCGACCATTAAATAAGTTAAATACTCCACTCTATTATCCAATGGTTTAAATGTTATTTAAAGAAAATAAATATTTCCTAAATGTTATACAAATTTCATTGTCTGATAGAACAAACACTCATTGTATTTATTAATTGAATCATGAAAACAATAAAATTTAATTATTTTTCGATAATTTTCTTTTTAAATTAGCCAAAGGAAAAGTTTGCGTTAAATTAAAATTTAATTTCATTAAAAACTTTCTATCGCTTCACGACCTAATGGATGAGTTTTTATTACAAGCTATTTGTTATGAAATGTCTTTTATTAGATCTCAAATGCCAGTGAAAGTCAAGTCAAATGTCATATAAATTTTGCTGACTTTCGGTTAGGAATGTGTGAGTGTTTGGGAAGTATTGGGACTTTTTTCTGTCGCCTTTATTATCAATGAAGACATAAATATTCTTCGAGTTTAATGAACTTTCAAACGCTTTTATAAATAGAAATAACTTATGAAATAATTCCTTAAAACCGTAAGAAATGTGATCAAAAAGTTTTTTGCTGTCAAGGATTTTCGATTTTCCCTATTTTTTTCTAATGAATTCATACCAATTGTATGCTAGCTTATTATTCATTCGCAGCCAATACTCGTATCAAGGCTATTAAACACAAGAATATACTGTTTATGGATTTGAATGTAATGCAAAAAATTATATTCAATACACAGTTGGCTGTGAGAAGTGAATAGACGAATGCAAAACGAGTTCTCACAGCAACTGGTTTTATATTAAATGTATTTTCCAATTGTTTGTTTTCATCATATATTGAGGCTCTATGTATGCAAATGGCAGTCAGGCGACTTTGATTTCCATCATAGCTGTGGTGGAAGTGTAGTACTGGTGCACTAAATAGTGTGTAGATTTGTACTCAAAGTTCTCGATACTATGATCGCGAAATACTATTATAATTAACATTTAACTGAATCTTTTAATATTATCATGAGTGCACTCTCTCGCTATATGTATGGGTAGTCATATAAATACTAAACATTTATGATTTAATGAGTTAAATGAATAGAGAAGGCCTTCAGTTATAATTCAAAATTTATGATAACTTTCAATGTCGTCATCAGTATGTTTGTCCATTTAAGACTAAATCAGTAAAGTTTTTAAGACAAAAACACACTGCGCTTATTGACTGCTAATTGACATCATATTTATATTTTGTGTTCAAAAACATAAGTCACAAGTTGTGTTACAATGAATACGATTACATCGATTTGTTTCGTATTTTTGGTGCAAATTCTGGCCGTATATTCCCATCAGTTTTCGGTCACATATGATCCTCCAGTGATCCGTGGACTCCATCAATGGAAGTCTCAAAACGTCTCTTTTATAATCTCAGCAGAGGATCTCAATTTGAACACTACTAGTGATGGCGATGGCGAGTATGAACTCGTATTGAGTCACTTCCAGTACTCGCAATATCATCGACAAGTTCTTGAGTTTGTTGGCGACAATGTATACCACTTTCGTGTCACCGCAAGTGAGCCCACATTTTCTTCGCAATTCCAGATCAAAGCCTTATTTCTGGGATATTCTAACATCACTTTCAATATTTACAAGAATAATACCCTGGTGCAAGTCTTAGACCACTACTCTATAAGTGTTATGAGGACTCAATCCATTTATGATGCCCTGTTTGGCGTACTAATCATTAGTTTGGTTACAATTAATTATATTAATATGGGCTGTCATTTGGACCTACAAATAGTCAAGAAGACATTGAAGACACCCATTGGACCACTCATTGGATTTGTTTGTCAGTTCACTATAATGCCTTTGGTATGTCTTTCAAATGATTATATTTCATTCAATTCTGTAATCATGTGATATGTTTGTATATATAAGTATTTATATAATTATTGGACTCATATCTAATGTCTAAAATATAAGCTCAAAAATTACACAATTTATGTCAAAACAAAACATAATCTGATATTCAGTGCGTTCAGAACGTGCTAGTACTTTTAGGACTGCAATTATCATCAATCAGTGATAACCGATACACAGGCCATACATTTTCCCGCAAACTGTTTGCCTCCCTTTAGTACCTCTTTGTATGAGATGTTGTTTACAGAATCGCAAACTTAACTAAAATAAATAAAAAGCCCTTTTTTCTGGTGACCAAAACAGTTGTGAACAAACAGATTACTAAATAGAGATTAGGATTTGTGCTTTGAATAGTGTTTTTGATTGCTTACTACAAGCCTTACGCAATAAATAGTGGGCCGACAGCTGTTGTACCCAGACATCTAATACACATCACTGTGTATATCATATGTGAAAATTGAGATTCAAATTGGATGCGATTCGTGGAAAGATATTTTTGAATTAAAAAAGTTCACTGAAAAAGATGGATCGTATGGGACAGTTAGCTCCAAACCTGTCAATAGTCACTCCCCTCTCTCCCTATGTATTCTCCCGTTTTCTCACATCAAACAAAATATCGCCGAAACTATTGAGTTTTTTACACAAAAAGTTATCGCATATAATAGTACAATGGACAGGTAGTAAATAAGGCGATCAATAATCTATATATTATGAACTAAATCACACTAAGATTTCGAAAATATTTTTTATATTTATAGCTAAAATGAATTTATTTCTGAAAACTATGGCTTATTTACAATTGTAATGAAACACTGAAACACGAATGCCATAAAAAATTGCAAATTATATGTATATTTTATGTAAAAATCAATGAGTTTCATATTCTCATACTCATTTCCACACAATATGTGATATCAGTTATAAATAATTAAATGCTTTTGAATATTCAGTTTAAAATTCAAAATAATCAATGTAATTGTATTTTAAATCACAGGATTTTATTTTTACATAAATACTGATATTGAAGTACTTTACACATGATGTTTTCGTATATCGATTACATTACAGATACATAATAATAGTGATTTGAATTTATTTTTTATTCTGTATAAATTTGCATATAATTTTTTATAAGAGAATATACAGCGATTTAATGCATTATACATATAATGGGTTACATGTCATAAAATCAGAAAATAGTTTATTCAACAATTAGTGTTGTAATAAATTTGCTTTCAAATCATTAATATTTAATGTTTGCAATTATAGGCCTCATATCTAATCGGATGGCTATTATTGGACGACATTAGTCTACGTTTAGGTCTATTCACTCTGGGCTGCAGTCCGGGCGGCAATTCAAGCAATTTCTGGACACTTCTGTTCAATGGAGACGTCAATCTCAGCATTACTATGACTCTCATCAGCACTGTTGCCTCATTAGGTATTGTATACCCTGATAATTGAATTAAAATTTGTTTAACATTTGTTATCTTATCTGTTAACAACATCTTAATTTATAATTTGAAACAATATTTCTTCATTTAGTAGTCTTATAGAGAAATCTATTGAAATATATTTCTTATTGAATGCTTGGTTTAAATGAAATGGAAAGAGAATTTTATTTCATACAATTAAACAATCAATTCTGCATTCAATAAAATAAATGCACAAAACTGACATAAAAAGTGGCATAAATACAGAAATAAAATAAATATGTTTTGTATGAAACAAATAGATATAAATACGAGAATCTGTTTAATCGATTGAATTTTCTATAAAGAAAATAAGTTTGTCTGTCGTTTCCATTACTCATGAGAAAAATAGTCAATTCACAGGATATTAATTAAATGATAAACTTTTACAATGTAGAACAATGGTTATATAAACATTTTTATGTAATTAAATCGTCTAAAATACTCATAATCAATTAATTAATTTTCACAATGAAATTAGTTTTAATTTATAGCTTAAAAACATATTTACAATGACAACATACCATTATAATTCCTATAAACTTTTTTATGTAATTAAATCATCTAAAATACTCATAATCAATTAATTAATTTTCACAATGAAATTAGTTTTAATTTATAGCTTAAAAACATATTTACAATGACAACATACCATTATAAGGAATTAGAAATATAATATTTAACAAACTATAATGTTTTAGTTTAGATTAGAAATCAATTATTAAATTAATAACATTTTTATGTAATTTGAAAATGTAGAGACAATAAATTATTTAATTCATAATTTTTATAATACAATATTCTTGAGTAATACTTGATTCCTATCTATTATTATTAATAATAAATACAATATTTAATCAATAAATTTGTCTTTTTTGAAATGTCTAGCAATGATGCCTCTATGGCTGTTCACATTGGGCTCCACTCTATTCAGCGCCGGGAACATAAAGATCCCGTATTTCAATCTATTCACATCGTTGATAACCCTTACATTCCCCATGTTTATCGGCATATTGATCAGACACTACAGACCTAATTGGGCCAAGGTATCTCACAAAATAATCAAACCGTTCACTATAGTGGTGGTCATATTTGGAATCGCTGGAAGTGCTATACTCTATAACCACATATTTGTGATGTTCACGTGGCCCATCGTAATAGCCGGCGCTTTGGTGGCCATCAGTGGCTACAGTTTGGGTGCAATCATATCAAGTCTGTGCGGAATGAAGAGACCCCAAGTCGTGGCCATCTCTATAGAGACTGCTTATCAAAACGGAGGAATCGCTTTCATATTACTCTTACTATCACTACAACAACCGGACGCAGACATCGCGAGTGTCCCCTGTATTGCACAGCTATTAATCACTGGACAACCCCTTTGGCTCGTATTGATCGGAGTGAAGATCTGGAATCGCTTTCATCCGCAAAATAATGACAAATCGGTTGACAATAAAAACGACAAAATTAGTGAACAAACCGACAAAAATGTTAATAACTTAGAGAATGGCTGTTATGACGGCCCATATATCGACAAACCAAAGACTGATACTGAGCTGAATGCCAGTACTAATGGCACTCACGATATCACTAAATTTTAACAATTATACAAATTTTTAATTATTTGATAAATATTTAAATATTTATTGTAAGCTGTTTAATTATTATGACATTTTTACTTTTCCTATTTATTTCTGTGTTTTATACTTACGGGTAAAACATTTAATAAATAAAAAATAATTGAATCATTTCAAGGATTTGAAATCAATCAAATTCTATATACAATACATGTAGTTAAGATTTTTATTTAAAAATGATTAAAACTAAATCATTATAAAACATAACTTATAAATTACAAGGAAGTAATAAAACACAAGAATTTATGATAAATAACAGTTGAATGTACATAAATAAATGAAAGTAAAAACATAATGACATCAAATAATTAAGTAAAAAGTATTTAAATGACAATCTTAAGCGGCATTTCCTCAAATTTAATGCCAAATCTAATCCTAATCTCATTTTGAATTCTTTGAGAATAATCGTCCGAAATGAAGGAAACGGCGGCGCCTTTAGTACCGAACCTACCGGCCCGGCCAACAGCGTGTAGATAGAGGTCACTGGTCTCGGGCATATCATAATTAATGACCAGGTTCACTCTTTCAAAATCTACTCCTCTATCAAACATCGCGGTAGTAATAAGTGTGCGCTTTCGGTAATTCCTGAACATTTGATAATTATCTAATCGCACGGTTTGTGTTAAATCCGAGTGAATGGGAAGTACAGAGACACCCAAATTGTAGAGCAATTCGCACAAAGCCTTACATCTATTGATTCTTTGCACGAAGACAATGGCCTGTTTGTAGTCAGTGGTCGTCAGGATGTCATACAGTTGCTTAACTTTTGCCTTCTCTGTAATGCGGACACAGAACTGCTGGAGGCCGTGAAGAACTAGTTTACTGTCGTCGCCTATAATCACTTCCAACGGATTATTCATCAGAGTTTTAGCCCTAACTCTTAATTCTTGGGTAACAGTGGCGCTGAACATCATCGCCTGTCTGTTTTTAGGCAGATATTTATTAATATACAGCACGTCTTCCAAAGTGTTGGATCGCTCTGACAAACCAAACATTTTATTGAAAACATTATAAACAATAATTAAAAACTAGATTTAATTACCTTTCCGGTCGAGTATATGGTCGAACTCATCGATAATAAAGTGCTTGACTCGACTCAAGTCAATCATGCGATCCCTAATGAATCCGCGGAGTCTTCCGGTGGTCGCCACCACAATATTGGGCCGTTTTCTTCGTAGCAATTCTTCGTCGGTTTGCTGAGGAATGCCTCCAATAAAAAGCGCCACATTTACTCTCATATATTTGGCGAATCGCT